CGACATTGATTATTACTAGACCCGATATTATATAGAATTCAATGTGAAGGGAAGGTTACTAAATGAGTATGATATGTATGTACTAAAGTTGTTGAAATAGGAGAAGTGTTCAAGCTGGAGTTTTATGGGACAGAAGAAATCAGCACAGATATTATTGAGAGATGATTTCAGTAAATAGCTGTTCTATTTCTAATGGATCACTAAGATCAAAACATTCTTTTTCATTTTATTTGATCATCTTGCACGTTTATCATGGCTGAAAAAAAATTAATACATAAGTACTCTCTCCATGATCAGAGAAGAAACTTTCAGCTCTCGGTACACATAGATTATATTTATTTACTCCATAATTTAAGAAAGCAATATAGGTCCCCTAGATTAGATCTTTCTTGTCAGTAAAGAAACACCTGTTCCAAAAGCACTGCCTTACACCCTTGTTGCTTCTAGTCATTAACTAAACAACTTAACCTACTGGTTATTATTCCCTAAACACCCTGTGCAATGTGCCTGGTAGTTTACTAAGAAAATAAATCATTTCTCAATTGGACTCGTCATTTCAGTAGCATAAATTTCTAACCCATAATAAAACAACACTTTTGATTCTATGAAAGTAGAATCAGTTTCTAATTTGTTTTAATGACTGAAAAGATAGAAGAGCATCTGCTGGAGATCCTAAATTTAATGTCCATGAACTTTGACTGAGAGGCACATCAATTATATCCTGGGAACAATGACTGAGTGTCTTTGACTTCCTGTGTCTGATTCCCTGTAACATCACCACCTTTGCTCTATCTGTGGGATTCAGTCAGTTTCAATGCCTTCAACTGTAGAGGAGCACAGCTGGAGAGAAATTGCTATGATGATGGAAATGTCCTGTATGTATATGTCCAATATAGTTTCCAGTAACCACTATTGCCAATGGATCCCTGAAATCAGAATGGAAAAGAATCAACTAGACATGGCAATTGAGAGGTCATTCTGAACATTGGGCAGAGAAAGTCTAAGGAGTTAATGGGGGATAAATGCTTATTATAGTAGGTTAAGGAGCAAATGGGAGATGAGGAAGTAGAGCCAGCATGTGTACTGGGGAGATGAGGTAGAGAATGCAGTGGAGTAGAATATGGACATACCAGAGCTCTATTCCAAAAACCATTGTTCTGGCAGCCATGTGAAAAATGGATTGAGTAGGGAAAAACTAGAGTTTATGTTTAGTTTTTCTTGATGAAAAAAAAATGAGTTAAGCTGAAGTTTTCTAACATTTAGTGAAGACAAGTGGTGATGTAAGAATAAATTCCAGTTTCCTAGGAAAAATGGAAACATTTATTGTCCTTGATGGTGTGACTATTACCCAAGAATAAACAAAATGGTTAGTTGTAAGACTTGAAACATTTCATTTTCCTCTGAAATTCTGTAAGAACCCATGACATTACAAAAATAAGATACTCTAGCATTTCTTTTCATAAAAAAAAAAACTTTGTAAGTTCCTAGTTTTAAGATGAATTTCTCAAAAAGTTATACAATCTATGCTTATATATAATGATACTAATCAAAAGTTGGACTTGGCTGAAATCATAGCATTTTAGAAATGAATGGATGTTTGTTTGTTAAAGTGCTTCATTTTAATGGGTAAGGACCAGAGACCTGGAAATAATATATGACTTAGTCAAGTTTACCCAGACAAGACTCAAACCCACATCTTTATACTCCAACCCTAGTGCTGTTTTGAAAAAGAAAAAGAAAAAAAGATTGGCTAGATGATGCACTGAGATATTTTTGTACTCTGTGTATTACAATAAGAGAGAAAATAGAAAATTCCTAACTATGCGTCACAGGGGACAGTGAATCTTTTTTTCACCCTTCTACAATTAGTACCATTTCCCTGGACACATTCTTACCATTTGCACTGTGCTTCCCACAATTTTCACTCATTTTTCAAAATTATTTGGTCATTATCCTGCATGCTAGAAAATTTGACCCAAGGAGAAGTCTAACTTCCTTTCAACTCTCCCCAAAGTTTCTTTCCTTACTGACAATAGGAAGATGGACCATAGCCAGTTTGGCTCAGTGGATATAGTGTTGGCTCATGAACTAAAGTAGTGGTTCTCTACCTTTCTAATGCCATGACCCTTTAATACAGTTCCTCATGTTGTGGTGACCCCCAATCATAGAATTATTTTCGTTGCTACTTCATAACTGTAATTTTGCTACTATTATGAATCATACTGTAAATATCTGTATTTTCCAATGGTCTTAGGCTCTACAGAAGGGTCACCTAAGACCATGAGAAAACACAGATATTTACATTATGATTCATAATAGTAGCAAAATTACAGTTATGAAGTAGCAACAAAAATAATTCTATGGTTGGGGGTCACCACAACATGAGGAACTGTATTAAAGGGTCTCAGTATTAGAAAGGTTGAGAGCCACTGGACTGAAGGGTCTCTAATAGATTCCCCAGTCAAGGGCATGTACCTTGTGGTTGCAAGCTCAATCTTCAGGGCACATGTGGGAGGCAACCAATCGATGTGTCTCTTTTATGTTGATGTCTCTCTCTATGTCTCTGCCCCCTCCTTATCACTTTCTCTAAAAATCAATGGAAAAATATCCTCAGGTGAGGATTAACAAAACAAAACAAAAAAAAAAATAGGGAAGATGGTATATTTGTAGGTTAGAGGAAGAAAAGTGGTCTCTAAAGTTTCAATTCTTCAGAGTATTTCAGTATTCAAACACTGAAATCAAGTTTTCAAGATTACATATAGATAGCTAATTCAGATTATGAGATCCTGGTGTGTTCTGTTTTTGTACAAAGAAACAAGGTTCTATACTTTCTGAGCTGAAGTTGTAGGCTGAAAATTTAGTCCATGAAAAACCTGGTAATGGTCTAAAACAGTGGTCAGCAAACTCATTAGTCAACAGAGCAGCAAACCATAGTTTGCCAACCACTGGTCTAAAACATAGAAGGCCAACTGTGTGTGTGTGTGTGTGTGTGTGTGTGTGTGTGTGTGTGTGTTTGTGTGTGTGTGTGTGTGTGTGTGTGTTTAAGGGCTAGGGAACTCCTGCTAGAAGATCCCTCAAAGAGTAAAAGTCAAATATGAATGGTAAAGATTCCGCTTGTGGCACACTAGTCCATTTCTGAAAATAATAACACTTTTTCAAAATGAAGTCATTTATATTCTTAGCCACCCTCTGTTGCGTGCACTGAGTAATTTCTTGAGAGCAATGTTTCCTATGGCACATTGCCAAGACTGGCTTTATTTGTTTTTCATTAGGCTTTTCATTATCAGACCTGGATCGTTCTGCTTCTTCCGAGAGCATCAGAGTAGCTCAAGCATAGGGGTGGTACTAGGAGCAGGTAGAATGTTTTTGTCCATTGAATGCCGGTTTTAAATCCCTAGCTATGGCACCATTCTAATGGCTTTCATCTTTCTAAGACCAGTCATTTCTCCGTTTATAATGTAGGCTGATATGAAATTGTTTACATCAATCTATGCTGTCCCTGTCCAGGGAAAGACATTAGTCTCACTTTGCACACAATGGACTAGCCCCTTCTCCTTTATTATCTCAAGGAAAGGCATCATGAATCACCCCCTCTTGCCCAAGCCTAGAACCAGTGTGTATTCTGCATTTCTCCATCATTCCATGCATTCACTTGCCAAGTCAAACTTCTTTCTATGTCCCATGACCACTACCTTAGTCTAATCCCAATCTCTAGAACTACAGTGGCCTCCTTCTGGGCTCCAGGCCCCAGGGTTGCCCTTTCCAATTCATCCTCTTTTGCTTTCAATGTTCATCAATACCCATGGATATCCTTAAATGGGTATTCTATAACTTCTATTCACAGAAGTTTTTGTGTTACACATGAAAAGGACAGAGTTTGATTTGTCCAGAAATGTAGCTATCTGAGTTCTTGAACTCTCCTATAGATTCCTCAATTTTGCTTACAGCGCCCCCCCCCCAAAAAAAATATGTTTATTAATTAGAGGTTTAAAACATCATTGAAATCCAAGAACTTCAGAGCTAGATCGGCCCTTGAAGGCCCTGGAGCTCAATTTCATCATTGTATAGGCAAGGAAACAGAAGCTCAGACACAAAAACTAAATTGAACTTTCTAAATTTGGAATCACATCATGTAACTCCTTAAACATTTGCCCAGGGATCCCTGTTATGGGCAAGATGAAGTCTGAATTCTGCCACATGCCATGCAATGACTGTACGTCTGGCCTCTGCTTGCCTTTGCAGTCTTATCTTTTGCTCCTCTCTTCAACTTACCCCAGAACTCAATGCTTCCAAGGACATTATTCTTTTTAGCCACAGGACATTGCTCATTATTCTTTTTTAGCCATTAGACATCATTTCCTCTGAAAACATACCCCTGAACCCCTCTGGGCTCCCCAGAACATGTCACTATCACAGCACATTTACATCACTCTGACTGCCTCTGAACAGTCTGTTTCCATCACTGCACTAGAAGAAAAAATGACAATTATGGGCAGGGACCTGCGTCTTACTCATTGTTCTAGCCCCACATCTTGATGAGTTGTCTGGGAGTCACTATTTTAAGATTAACTCTCACTTTAACCTCATCTATGCAATTTTGCCATCAGCCCTCCTCACAAAATCTGTTTTCCTGGGGGGTGGGGATAAAACTGATTCATTCACATCAAGGTATAAGTCATGGATGGTTCTAAATGACACCACTCCCTAGAAGCATTTACATTTTTAGGAGGACAAAGTTTTAAGTCACAGGAATAAATCCTCAATGCAGATGTTCCAACCAGAAATAGTAAATCATGAGAGTATTGGTGAGGGGAAGGAAGTTTTCCCAGAACTTTCAACGTTGTGGGTGACCCCCTCTAATCCTATCCTCACAGAAACATGATGTTTTTGTCTATAAAATTCAGATCATATGTTGGTTATTTCTCTCTGTATTACACAAATAATTATTTACCCATAATTAAAAAAATGCCTGATTTACAACACTTCTGGTTTTGTTTCAGGGAAGCAATGTTATGGAAGATCAGGACTTATTGGAAATTGGGATCCTTAATTCTGGGCACAGACAGAGAATTCTACAGGCAATCCAGCTCCTCCCAAAGGTAAGCCATGCTTTGTTCCCCTCACTCCAAGTACAGTCCCAGTGCTTTAAGTCCAGATGTGCAAGGGGTGTCAGTACTTAGGACATTTCCACAGATTGATGCAACTCCCTAAAGGTCTTTAGACTTACCTACAAGGATGCAATACACTGGCTAACAGGCAGAGTCAGAGTTTCTCTTCAATGAGAGTCCTTATATCAGTACAAACATCCACCCAGGCCCCTCAAGTCCAAGAAGATAAGATCAATATTGGATGGAAACAGGGATGTTCCTGGATTAGAAGCCTCATGCCCCATAAGAGGCAATATCTCCTATAACAGCTCCAGAGGTTTAGCCTCCAGGGACAAGGGACCTGCCTAATTACAAGAGTCATCACTTGGCAAAGTCCAGAGCATCGCATTCCCATCAGGTATGTAATAGTTCATGTATAAATCTTCCCAGTCCAGATGCATTTTATAAGTAGTAGGTTTCTGTTACCTAGCAACAGAGTTGACCTTCTGTGCCCAGATAATGTTTCATAGGAGCCTAAAGCAACAGGTAAGATCTGAGCATTGGTCTTCAAGATAAATAGTATGTTAATTGCTATGAAAGGAAAAGGCTTTTCACAAGCCAGAGGAACCCAGATATGGTCCAGGCAACAAACTGCCAGAGTGTTAGGGGAATGGTGATACTGTATGACTTAAAATTCGATGGGATTTGCACAGCAATGTGAATGTACTTAATGCCCCTAAACTATACACTAAAAAAGAAAAATGGTTAAGGTGGTTAAGTTTGTTATTTCTTTGTTATTTGAACAAAGTTTTGTTATTTTTTTTTTTTTAGCACAGGTAGAACAATGTTTTTTTTAAAAAAGAAGAAAAAATTCAATGTGATTAAAACAATAGGAGAGTGGAGTAGAGATAAAGCAGAAAAAGTAGTTGGATCAGTTGGTGCAGGCTAAGGAATTTGGAATTTATTCTGTAAGCTCTGGGGAACAGACATGACTAGAATGCTTTAGGCTAGCTCATTCTGGAGGAGTACATGGTAGGAACTAGAAGGAGGGGAAGTTGAAGTTGAGTCATCCAGATGGGGAAAAAATGGGGATGGGATGGGGGAATTTGAGGCAGGGTAGCAGTATGGGATTATATATATTTTAACCATTGTTTCTAAGGAAGGGATCTGGTAATATTTGCCAAATGATAATAAACTGAGTTGCTACTGATAGAAACTTAACACTTTTGCAAATTCAAGGAGAGTCAAGCATACAAAGAAGGTTAATCATACAATTTTCTCCACTAAAAGGAAAAAAAAATAAAATAAAGCATCCTTAGAACTAATTCTAGAAGCAATTCTTTACTTGTATTGTTCACCTCACTACTTTTGAATCTTTACTTAAAATATTACTCAGCAAGTTTTCTCCTTATTGTTAGTAAGAGCTTGTGCACTGCTATGCTCTCAACACCTAGACCAGTGCCCAGCCCATGGTAGGGACTCAGTAAATCAATGAATGACTCTCCCCTTGTCATAGTGCTGCCCATCATTTGAAGTTCAGCTCACATTGTTCCACATCACTTCCTTTGTGAAACTTCCCCTAAAATGGAGTCACTTCTCTCCACCTTGGTAATTATCACCTTAGTTCAAACCAATCATCTCTTACTGGACTACACTAGATTCTAATCTGTCATCTCTAGGTTAGACTAGTTGAGTCCATTTCTCCTTGGTCCTCTCTGGGCAATTCATATATGCCTAATCTCTATTCTAGATACCTTTTTTTTTTTTTTTACCAACTTACAATTAAATTTACACACAGCATCAAGAACAACACTTCTAAAATGTAAATATATCATATCATGCCACATGCCATGACCTGCTTAAAATCTCCAATGGTCAGCCCTGACTTGTGTGGTTCAGTTGGTTGAGCATTGTGCCATGTATCAAGACGTCACTGGTTGGATTCACAGTCAGAGCATATGCCCAGTTGCAGGCTTGATCCCCAATGAGGATGTGGAGGAGGCAGCTAATCAATATTTCAGTCTCTCATCAATGTTTCTCTCTCTCCATCTCCCTTCCTCTCTCTAAAGTCATTAAAAACATATTTTTAAAAACCTCCAATGGCCTACAAAAGTCAATAGACTCTGGCCCCTTCTCACATCTAAGATCTCAACCCTCACTCTCCCCTTCCCCTGACTCTCATCATATGATTTATTTTTGTTCAAACACTTTCCAAGCTCATTTTTGCCTCAAGGACTTTCCATATTGGATTCTGCCTAGAAAGCCTTTTCTTCAGATCTTTATTCACTTGCTTCCATACATTATCGAATCTCTACTCAGCGTCACCTCCTCTCAAGGGCCTTCATGATCTCAAAGTCACACTCCTCACTCATTTACACTGCCCTTTGTGTTGTCCTACTTTAGTTTTTTCTTCATAGTACTTATGGCTACCCTAAGTTATATTATTAGTTCATTTTTCTTTCTTATTTTCCACTTCTCCTTATATTTTCCACTTCTCCCTGAGGATGCAGGTTCCCAAGATCAGGGATCATGACTATCTTATTCCTTTCTATTACACATTCCCTAGAACAGTGCCTGGCACATAGTAGGTGGCCAAAATATTTGTGGAATAAAGGAATATACTGCTCTCTTTTTCCCCTGAGATTTGATAGTTCTATGCTTGTTCTCTCTGAAGGTACTGATAATATTATTATAAATATCCTTAGGCACAAACAATGTCATATCCATCCTTGAATTTTCCTCTGTGCTTATACATCCTATATAATGAAGAGCTAATATGCTAATTAGACTGATATCCAGACGACCTTCTGGACTAAGCCAGGGCTTCGAAAGCCAGCCTGGCCAAGCCCCTTGCATGAATTTTGTGCATTGGGCCTCTACTTAATAAAAGAATAGCCAGATCTTGGTATGGATCAGTCAACATATGAACCACGAGGTCACAGTTCGATTCCTTGTCAGGGCACATGCTGGGATTGTGGTCTTGATCCCCAATAGGGGATTTGCAGGAGGCAGCCCATCAATGATTCTCTCTCACCATTGATATTTCTATCTCTCTTTCTCTCTGAAATCAATAAAAACATTTTTAAAAGAATCGGTTATTTAATGAATGAACATTTTCCTCACATGTTAGTCAAATACAATTTTTTAAATCAAAAATATATATAATTTTTTAAAACTCGGTTTTAAAATATATCTGTAAGCTTATCCATAACATTTAATAATAAGAAACAAAACCACTTGAACTCAGAATTATTTGGAGAATAAATGAAGTGTTTACTTTTAAGACAGAATGTCATTCCCATTAGACAAAACAATATAATAGAAACAATACAAAATTAAACTTCTATCAAGAGGCTGATGTGAAGTGCTTAGTAGGCACCCAAATGAGCAGATAATATATAAAAACTTCCAAACATGTGTTCAGCAGCACAAACAGAATGTTATAATGCTACAAATTGATGCTTTGCTTTCTTAGGTAATGAGCCCAATCTTCAGATGGTTAATAGTGTAATTTTACTGCCAGCACATTCATTTGCATTCACTCTAGCTTTGCACTGCCAGAAAATGGACAAAATGTCTCTGTTGTGTTTATGCAATTTGGGTCTTCAGAATATTTGTGTTCTTCATCTGTCAGGAAAGATATTCCGTGATTGCTACCTGAGATCCTCTAATTAGCATACAGTGTTTTGGAACAAGGGAGATTGTTCCTAAACAGAGGAAAGGTTTTCTAAGTGCGATCTTGACCTGTTAGCACACTTCAAGCCATGTTCTTCATGCTTTATTTGTGTTTGATGTCTCAAGTTTCAAAGACAAAAGCTTATTCCCTTGGTAAGAATGTTTCTTTTTTTTAGAATATGCCCTTTTTGTATTGAAATGTTCCCCACCACATGTTCTGAAGTACACTTGATTCATTGGGCACAGAGAATACATTTGATAGATTCTAAGACATCTTTAAACAATAATCACATCGATTCTCCCTCTATCCATTCTTTCCCTCAGTCTTTTGCAGTGTTTAACCTTTCAGCGCTTAATATCAATGTTCATCCAGCATCCACTTCCTTCACCAATCCCTACCTAGTATTTAGGTCTACAAGTTTCCCTGAACTTTTGAAGATCAAATTTCACCCTTCTCACTTTTAAGAAAGAAAACATGCCAAAAGTTCTTTGAGAAGATGACCTTTGTTACTCTTTTAGAAACTGTAAGCATCATGAGGCTTTTTCTGTCCCTTTGACACAGAGAAATTATCTGATTACTTATTTGCAGTGTATAATTTATCTTTTACCAGATAAGAATTATCTGTGGCGAGGTCTTTAGATAATCCTCTAATATCCTTTTAAAAGGACACAATCTCTTTTGTCCTTTGACAGTACACCAACTTCCAGTCAGAAATTCAAAGGATATTTATTTTAAAGGTTTGTAGGACTTCATGTCAAGGCCCAGATGTATTTGTTCTCTTAAGGTTTCTCATCCTGAATTGAGAATGTATTTCAGCATATCAGCAACTTTGTGATCACATGCTCACTTCACTTTTCAATATTTCCTTTTCTAATATTCTCCTGTTTCATAATACCTTTTGGAATTATTTAGTAGTTATTCTGAATACTTCTTAGCAAGTAGTTATATCCTTGTTATCCCCCTTTCCCTTATTTCCACTTGTCTTTCCATCTACTTAGGTCTACTAGTTCCTTTGCTGCCACAGCACACAACCAGCACTAAGGTCACCAGTGACCAGCAGAGCAGGCATTCATAAGCGCCTTTTCACCTTCACTTGACTCTGGCTTTGGTAGATTCTGATACTCTTAATTGTCTTCTTTTAGCTTCCCCAATACCTGATTATCTTCCTGCCTCTCTGATGTCCTCTCCTTGCCTGTTCATTCTCCTCAGTGAAATGTTGCTTAAACTCAGAAATATCTGATTACTACTGAATGGTGTCATCATAGGATTCTTGATCATTGTACAGTTTTTGGTATTCACTCTTTTGTTCATTGCTTCTCTACTTCTATTTTATTGC